TTTAGTATTTAGCCTTGTATGAATATAAATTATTTACGGTTTATTTTGTAATTATTTATTTTTTGATATACAGAGTGTTCCGTTTTTCTAATATTTTATTTTTCGAAAGAATTTTTTCACAAGTTTTGTTAAGCGATAATTTACACATTTTTTTAAATGTATATTTAAATATAATTTAAAAAATATGATAGTTTATTATTAAATAGAAAATAGTGCCATAAATGCATTTAACATGTTTTTAATTATTGAATAAAATTACTGTGAACAATGGAACACTCTGTGTAAAAAATTTTTTGTAGTAATTCGACTTTTTTCCGATGTTTTTTTGTATTTATATAGGTTTTTACTTATTAAATACTAAAATCTAAGTTAATATTGGTGAAATCATATTTTATACAAGAATATAAAAAAAATAACTAACAGTTTCATGAAAAAAAATCGTGAAATATAAATTTTTTACAAGTTTTAGTTGTTTTTTGCAGTTTTTCGATATTTTTTAATGTTCACTAAAATTAACTTTGTAGTGTAAACGTATATGTTGGCAATACAGGTCGTGTAAATAAGTTTCTACTTAGGTTTTAGGTCTAGACTGGCGATATAGGGGACCTAAGTGGTATAATTACTAATTTTATATCGGAGAGTAATTTCTTCAACACACTAAATTAATATTTATATCTATACAAATAAAAAAGAGGAAATGTTTGTATTTTTGTTTTTTTTATACGTTTTGTAATAACTCAAAAACTACTGGGACAATTCGAAAAATTCTTTCACCAGTAAAAAACTACGTTATCAGTAATACAGGCTTTTTTTAATTTCTCGCAGGCGAAGTCGCGGGCAAAAGCTAGTAATATGATATAGAGGAAAGATTTATTAGACGTAAAAACTACTGGTACTGGGCTGATTTTAAAATTCTTTCACCATTAAAAAGGGAATTTAACTTTTTTGACATGTGGACGAAGTCGTGAGCAACAGCTAGTGAATTTATAATTAACTAGCTGTTGCTTACGACTTCGCCTGTGTGTAAATATATGCCTCGACTGATAACGTAGCTTTTTAATGATGAAAGAATTTTTAAAATTGGCCCAGTAGTTTTTGAGTTATTTCAATACATATAAAAATACAAATCTTTCCGCTTTATATTAGTATAGACTAGCTGTTGCCCGCGGTTTTGTCCACGCAGAAATAAAAATTGTAATAAATGTGTGATAACGCTATTTATTGGTGAAAGTAGTTTTTGAGTTTTTTCAATATATACAAAAATACAAATCTCTACTCTTTATAATAGAAACTCCAATTTTATTGTAGTTGTTACCACTAGTTCCCCTAATACCACTAACGGAGGCCATTTAGTTTTAGTAATGCCATATAAAATAGGAGTCTGTATTTAGGTTGTATATACCGCTCTTTATGTATACATAAGTTACTCTAGGTGCTCTAAGTTATTTTAACTTGAATTCAATCGTATGGAATATAGACATTTTATAAGAAAAAAAAAGATTATGGTCGATACACGTTTTTTTATTATTTTTTTTTGTCATTTCGAAAAATTTTGTGTTTTTTTCTTATCGTTTTTACGGTTTTTTGAGGTTATTAGAGTTTGTATTTAGGTATTTTTTTGTTATTTAAAAAAAAATAATGTAAAAAAAATGTCTATATTTTATGTGATTGATTTATTTTGTTTATCCCAGTCTAGCTAAAGCTATATATTTATTTAGTTTCAACGATTCGTGTCTCCGTTTTTCTATAGATTATCCAGTAATTGATTAATTCCAAATATAGATTTTAGAAAAGCCTTTATATTTTAAACGTCATAATATAGCTATTTTTTATTATTTATTTAATACTTTTTTCAGTAAAATAAAAATTAAACGTAGTATATTACATAAACGATTACTTTTTTATTAAATTAATTGATTTTTTTTCCTTATATTTCATGTTTTATGTCAGGACTGCCCCAAGGTTGTGTATTGGACCCATATGTTTTGCTAGATTTTTGGAGACACGCATTTAATTATATTGAATTGTGATTTAAAATACTTTTAAATAACGTTATTGCTAAAAATACATAAAGATTCAGATTTCGAAACTACCTTCATTTTTAGACTACATATGTAGTTTTATTTTCGTAATAATGACGACGCGGGGCACATTTTTTGAATGTATACGTAGAAATGTTTTTGAAATTATAAATATTGTATGAGGGTATTTAACAAGTAATATATAAAATAAGCTATCTAATAACGGATTGGATAATATAGCTGTCCCTTTCCGTACTATATGAAATAGAGACGGCAATAGAGGTATAGCCAGTATGTTTTGGTCGTAGTGTAGTGTAGACACAAAATCGATAGATGGCGTTGTTATACATTTTTTAAAAATAATGGTTTATGAAACATTCTTCCATACATTCTTATATAAATAAAAATACAGTATTTGTATGTGATTGTCGTTTAATTTGTCAATATTATTGATTAAAAGTATGAAATATTGGACATAATTGACTAAATAGGTAATTTAAGTCCCTTTCTCTTTACCACCCTTTTCTCACAAGAAGAGGATGGGAAGAGGAAGTGGATTTGACGGTGTAGGATATGCATAGGAAGGGGAAATATCCTCTTTATGTGCGTCTCCTCCTCTGTCGGATAAGGGTAGGCAACGCATCTGCAATTGCGAATGTCTGTGGGCAGCGGTCGCTTCGCCATGTTGGCGGATTGAGGTGGCCGCTTGCTCGTTTGCCACCTTATGTTATAAAAAAAAAATTGCCTACCCCTGTTTTTGTCACTATATTTGTTATATCTTGTTTTGTTATTTTACAAAAAAAACAATAAACACGATGTGAACGCCTCATCGGGCCGAATAAATTAATCGCACTATAACGTTCCGTTTCACAATAAAATTTTTGATTTTGAGTTTCATTTTCAAACATATCAAAAATAAAATTTAAATCCCTTAAAATCTAAAGAATAAAAAAATTTCAAATTATCTAAAATGTATGGTAGCTTCTCGTATAACATATATTGTAGTTTATAATCTTTAGAGAAAATTCATTCTAGTCTTGGAAAATCGACGATCAAATTTTATTTTTACATTTATATGAATATTTTGTTTATTGGAGACTGATTCCCTTTCCAATGTTAAAAACCTTTCTACAGTGAGTTATGTAAATACAATAATTTTGTTCAATACTCTAAAATCCAACGCAACATTTCATTTGCATTTATTGACATTTCGCGCGCCATTTTTGACGTTAAATTGTCACTAGTGTTGTTACTGTGGAATATCGATTGTTGAATCGATAACTCGAATAATTTTATTCTTTCTGGTTTTTTTAAACAATGATTATAATCATAAAGTATTTCGATAATAATAAAAATAAATACGATTTTTAAAATGTTTTAGTTTCTATAATATATAGTAGCTTTCGCCCGCGACTCCCTTCGCGTGAAACTAAAAAAACATTGTATCATATAGCCTATGTTACAGACAAATTACCTTTCTAACGGTGAAAGAATTAAAATCGGCCCAGTTTTTGAGCTTCATTACAATCAAAGTTTTCCTCTTTATAATAATAGTATATACGGTTACAAATCTAAAATAAAGTTTGGAATGTTTTAATCCTTGAATAGCTGAAGTTTCTTTAATACCGCGGTTATAAATCCCATTGGACTACAATCGATTTTATTTTAATATCACCCTATTTGACTTTGACTGATCTTCAAGAAAACAAAAAGGAGCATAGCACGAAAATATCCTTATTATTCTTATACTATTCTTCCCCCTTTAGTAAAAAATACAGTATAAATACTAATTTTTTAATTTGATTTTAATCAGGCTTTGTAAAAAATCTAATCGATATTTATATTCCACTATAAACAACACTAGCTGTCATTGGCGCGCAAAAATGGCGGACGACGTATATAATGTTCTGTATCGAGTAAT